ACATGAACGCGTAGGATCATGCTCACTGGCTGATAAACAATGGCACACTGAGTGTCGGGCCGCTGTTGTCGTGCGGGCGCGTTCGGGACGAATGACTATTACCGAGCTCAATGACGATCACCGAGCCAATACAGTGGACCCCGGCCTTACAATATTAATTCATTCCAGAAGTCTGTTTGGGTGCCATTACCGAACGAATTTGTTCCCATAAGGAATATTGTAAATTAGATTAGTCTGTTTCAGACCCCCAAAAATACACGTACAAAAGCACTTACAAAAATACACTTACATAACTGATCGAGTTGGGAGCTGATCGTAAGGCGGGGGTCCACTGTATTTTGATGAAAAAAACGTTAGGTTTCCGAATATTACGAAATCCAATGACTACGATATCCAGGGGTCCACTGTATACAGTTACATAGATTATCATACATAGCAACATTGTAGAGAACCTAGGATAATCCAAAAAAGTCAAAGTGACTTATTTCCAGCATGGGTGGTGGGGAAGACTGTGTGGATGTGAGGAAGGCAGTGTGGGTAGTGGGGAAGATGGTGTGGGTTTGTGTAAACAAAGTTTTGTGAGCAATATAATGATAACAATGTTTGTGCGGTTATTGTGTTGCATACGAGTGGATATATATATATATATATATAATATAATTTTTTTTTTTTTCAACAAGTCGGTCGTCTCCCACCGAGGCAGGGTGACCCAAAAAAAAGAAAGAAAATCCCCAAAAAGAAAATACTTTCATCATCATTCAACACTTTCACCACACTCACACATTATCACTGCTTTTGCAGAGTGCTCAGAATATAACAGTTTAGAAGCATATACGTATAGAGATACACAACATATCCCTCCAAACTGTCAATATCCCAAACCCCTCCTTTAAAGTGCAGGCATTGTACTTCCCATTTCCGGGACTCAAGTCCGACTATATGAAAATAACCGGTTTCCCTGAATCCCTTCACTAAATATTACCCTGCTCACACTCCAACAGTTTCGTCAGGTCCCAAGTATCATTCGTCTCCATTCACTCCTATCTAACACGCTCATGCACCCTTGCTGGAAGTCCAAGCCCCTCGCCCACAAAACCTCCTTTACCCCCTCTTTCCAACCTTTTCGAGGACAACCCCTACTCCTCTTCCTTCCCCTATAGATTTATATGCTTTCCATGTCATTTTTACTTTGATCCATTCTCTCTAAATGACCAAACCACCTCAACAACCCCTCTTCTGCCCTCTGACTAATGCTTTTATTAACTCCATACCTTCTCCTAATTTCCACACTCCGAATTTTCTGCATAATATTTACACCACACATTGCCCTTAGACAGGACATCTCCACTGCCTCCAACCATCTCCTCGCTGCTGCATTTACCACCCAAGCTTCACATCCATATAAAGTGTTGGTACTACTATACTTTCATACATTCCCCCTTCTTTGCCTCCATAGATAACGTTTTTTGACTCCACATATACCTCAAACGCACCACTCACCTTTTTTCCCTCATCAATTCTATGATTAACCTCATCCTTCATAAATCCATCCGCTGACACGTCAACTCCCAAGTATCTGAAAACATTCACTTCTTCCATACTCCTCCTCCTCAATTTGATATCCAATTTTTCTTTATCTAAATCATTTGATACCCTCATCACCTTACTCTTTTCTATGTTCACTTTCAACTTTCTACTTTACACACATTCTCAAACTCATCCACTAACCTTTGCAATTTTTCTTTAGAATCTCCCATAAGCACAGTATCATCAGCAAAAAGTAATTGTGTCAATTCCCATTTTGAATTTGATTCCCATAATTTAATCCCACCCCTCTCCCGAACACCCTAGCATTTACTTCTTTTACAACCCCATCTATAAATATATTAAACAACCATGGTGACATTACACATCCCTGTCTAAGACCTACTTTTACCGGGAAGTATTCTCCCTCTCTTCTACACACCCTAACCTGAGCCTCACTATCCTCATAAAAGCTCTTTACAGCATTTAGTAACTTACCACCTATTCCATAAACTTGCAACATCTGCCACATTGCTCCTCTATCCACTCTATCATATGCCTTTTCTAAATCCATAAATGCAATAAAAACTTCCCTACCTTTATCTAAATACTGTTCACATATATGCTTCAATGTAAACACTTGATCTACACATCCCCTACCCACTCTGAAGCCTCCTTGCTCATCCGCAATTCTACATTATATACATTATGCATTATATCGGTCTCACAGGCCACAAAAGTTACTTGAAAAATAAAATATTAGAAAAGAAAATATAGAATAAAAGTAAAAATAATATTACCAAGTGAGCTTCAGTCGCCGATGTTGCCATAAGTGGTTCACTTTCTGTCAAATTCAGAGGTCTTGACAGGGAAAGGGTTAAAAATCCTTTATATTGAGGTTTATTGTATGTTTGGAATTTCACATTATTAACAGGCAAAATACACTTAAAACCTCCTGTCATTATTAATTAAAATGTTTTAATATAAACTTATTAGTTATGTAGCAATTAATATTATTCTAAGTAGCATTTTGACTACAATTTCTGAACAATGAGACAAGTTCTTTATATTAATATGATAAATTATGAAATTATAAGATGCAAGAATATTCATAAAATACCATATAGTATATACACACATGTATATGTATGTATATATTTTAATGCTGTATTTTGTTTCCTGGCTAATAATATTAACCCTTAAACTGTCCAAACGTAGATCTACGTTCGCAAGCGTAGTGCTCCGAACGTAGATCTACGTTCAATTTTACATTGTTTATGTAAAAAAAACGTAGATCTATGTTTGGAGCGCTATGCACGCAAACGTATATCTAAGTTTGGACAGTTTAAGAGTTAGCTACAGCAAACCCTCGATATAACAGACTAATAGGTAGGACTGTCCAAGTGTCCGTTAAATCAAATAATGTTTAAAAATAACAAAACAAAGGCACTTACTCTGTTGTACAGTACTGTACCTCTCAATTTACAGTTATATTACAATAAAAAATTAAAGGAGTTAAAATTTGCCAAGTTTTTACGAGGATAGTGAGGCTCAAGTTAGAGTATGTAGGAAAGAGGGAAATTATTTCCCAGTAAAAGTAGGCCTTAGACAAGGATGTGTGATGTCACCGTGGTTGTTTAATATATTTATAGATGGGGTTGCAAGAGAAGTAAATGCGAGGGTCTTGGCAAGAGGCGTGGAGTTAAAAGACAAAGAATCACACATAGAGTGGGAGTTGTCACAGTTGATCTTTGCTGATGACACTGTGCTCTTGGGAGATTCTGAAGAGAAGTTGCAGAGATTGGTGGATGAATTTGGTAGGGTGTGCAAAAGAAGAAAATTAAAAGTGAATACAGGAAAGAGTAAGGTTATGAGGATAACAAAAAGATTAGGTGATGAAAGATTGGATATCAGATTGGAGGGAGAGAGTATGGAGGAGGTGAATGTATTCAGATATTTGAGAGTGGACGTGTCAGCGGATGGGTCTATGAAAGATGAGGTGAATCATAGAATTGATGAGGGGGAAAAGGGTGAGTGGTGCACTTAGGAGTCTGTGGAGACAAAGAACTTTGTCCTTGGAGGCAAAGAGGGTAATGTATGAGAGTATAGTTTTACCAATGCTCTTATATGGGTGTGAAGCATGGATGATGAATGTTGCAGCGAGGAGAAGGCTGGAGGCAGTGGAGATGTCATGTCTGAGGCCAATGTGTGGTGTGAATATAATGCAGAGAATTCATAGTTTGGAAGTTAGGAGGTGCGGGATTACCAAAACTGTTGTCCAGAGGGCTGAGGAAGGGTTGTTGAGGTGGTTCAGACATGTAGAGAGAATGGAGCGAAACAGAGTGACTTCAAGAGTGTATCAGTCTGTAGTGGAAGGAAGGCGGGGTAGGGGTCGGCCTAGGAAAGGTTGGAGGGAGGGGGTAAAGAAGGTTTTGTGTGCGAGGGGCTTGGACTTCCAGCAGGCATGCGTGAGCGTGTTTGATAGGAGTGAATGGAGACAGGGAAACCGGCAGGCCGGACTTGAGTCCTGGAGATGGGAAGTACAGTGCCTGCACTCTGAAGGAGGGGTGTTAATGTTGCAGTTTAAAAACTGTAGTGTAAAGTACCCTTCTGGCAAGACAGTGATGGAGTGAATGATGGTGAAAGTTTTTCTTTTTTGGGCCACCCTGCCTTGGTGGGAATCGGCCAGTGTGATAATAATAATAAAATATTTTTCCCATTATTTTAAAATTCCAATATGGCAAGGTCCATTATATCTAGGGTTTACTGTATATGGTGAATATCTTTTCACTTTGATATTTGAGCTGTATATGTGAGTGTGTGTTTTGTATTTGATATAATACTTAAATATCTATTATCTATAATTTCAAATTATTTAAAAAAAGGAAAAATAAAAAATTATACACTTCAAAAAACTTCAGTAATTATAATAACATTGCATATATGATAATGTCAGCCAAATTAGTTAATATCATTGTTAAATGATATACCAGAAGCACTACATAACAATAAACATGACAAATGATTTAGGGTGAACATGTAATGCAAAGGGGTTTCTGCTAATTAATTCTATATCTACAATTCTAGTAAAAATTCCTTTAAGATTACTAATAGAAGAAAAAGCTAGTTAAATTAGAAAAAGGTGGTTTTAAAAGGAGTCATTACTCAGTAAGGTTTTAATGTATTGACTTTTAAAATGATGCAGTTTAAGTGGGATACAAGTTAATTTTAAATGTGGAGATACCTTAATAATATACAAACAGATAAACAAAAAATGATACTTTTGCAGCAGTTTAGTTTCCATAATACCTTGACAAATTGAGTCTCTGTAATACCTTGACAAATTGAGGAAGAAGTGGATAGATCAATTTCTATCATTTCCAATCCAGAGATGCAGCATCTGACCCCAGGAGCCAAGTAGAGGAACGACAGAAAGAAATTCTTTAATATTGCCTTCTTCTTTCCAAACACAGAAGCCAAGTGGATGAAGCCTGGCTTGAAGACTTTTTTTTTTTTTTTTCAATAAATCTGACAAATTTTCAGGACAAAATCTGCCCAAATATAGAGGTGGCCTGTGTACTTAAGATTTTCCAAACAAAATGGAAGCTCTTAGAAAACAAGGCAGTCTTGTTTACTTTAGCTTCCTTAAATAAGCTACCTCACTGAACAATTATGCAGATCACATTTGGAAAGAATTCTTTAATTGTTTAATCACCTGGGAACTACTCACAACTTGAGGATTCTGCATGGAATATTTAGAACTACATCAAAGACACCTCACATTTTCACAACATGGGATATGTGAATATCCCACCCTGAACAAAATTAGTCCCAAATGAGAATTCAAGAGGTCCATGAAATTTTCCAAGAGATTTTAAGGACAAGCCCATCATTCAAGAGCTTGTAGGAATTCTTGATGATGAAAGTTGATTGAGATACTGAAGAGAAAAAAAAAAGAGATCATCTGGTTAAAATCATCACTTTTACACCCTGAAAAGAAGAAAGTTTGCCCATGAATCTTGAGATATTCACAAGTAAACTATTCACTTCCAAAAGATGAAAAGACATGTAAAACTGAGAGATGCTCAATAAATCAAGGCTGGTATCCCAGTGATAACTTAATTACTCTGACTTCCACAGAAGTTCAAGGTAAGATTTGTAACATTTTTCTTAGCCTAAGTTTTTTGCCTAGTTACACTAACATGGCAAATTTGACTTTCCTTAATTTTGTATGGCCAAAAAGACTTAAAATAATTCTTCTTGTAGAAGGAAAAAAAACAAAAAAAGATACAGAAAAGAAAAATCTTGTGAATTGTGGGCTACTGCAAAACAGTTTTGAAGTTGCTGGAATTTTGGGTTTCATCGAAAACAAACCTTCAAAAGGAGATTCAAACCCATCATTCTATTTATCAGAAAACTAAATACTGAAACAGAGACAGGTCCATAAAAGGAGGGAGCACTGATAAACTGTATTTGAAAAAGTAAATTTGTCCATTTGGGCCAAACAGGTACAGCTACACAGGTACAGGTACACGGCTAACCACCTCTAAATACGTATTTAAAACAGGTATACCCTATTTACAACACATCTTACACAAAACACAAACTTCATGGAAATGAGAAGGAAAATGATGAGGTAAGCAAACAGACATCTTTGAGTAAGAAACCAGTTCTTTAAAGTCAATCCTCCCTTATGTAAGAAGACCAATGACTGAAAGTCAAGATCCCTTAGAAAAGTGCACAGAATCAGAAAATATATTATTACCTTTCGTTTATTTTCAGCTGTTGGTTCTAGTTCTTGACGTATACACTCTGCTTCAGCCCAGGATAATGCTGCATCAAAGAGAATAATTTCTCGGCAATTCAAAGTTTCTCTTGACAAGACACTGGTCAGAGTCGGAAAGTCAATATCTACAAAGCCATCAGATTGTAGTGCCATCTCAGCCTGCAATAATCAGATGATTTATATAAGTTTGGAAGACAGGGACCACCTAGGAAGGTAACACCATCCTGTCATGTGTGAAACAGACGCCTGTTAAATGTTTTGCACTCTGGCAGGATTGTTGGTCTTTTCTTTCTCTCTCATGAATATAAAATAACAGTATACACTTTTCTTTACCTCCCTCTGTATTCCTTAATAGTTTTTATCCCTTTAGTATTTTCTTTTCAGTTCCATTGGGCAATGGTTACAATTCTTCCCCAGTAAGTGATGCGTGTGTGTCATAGAAGGTACCAAAACTTTCAGGCTGGCAGCTCCATTTTCTATATGCAGTTGCTAAAACAACACAAAAAAAATGAAATTTTAAAGTTGGGTTCTTTGAATATACAGCAGGGCCCCGCTTTATGGCGGTTCGCTTTACGGCGTTCCGCTAATACGGACATTTCAAATTATGACCAAAACTCGCTATACGGCTCCCCCCACCTGTCTTTCTAATACGGTCACAGCTGCCCACCGAGTTTGTTTACATTCTCCCTGAGCACATCTCCTTATTATGTCTGGAAACTTTCCAAAATTTCAAGTGTTTTAAAGTTATTGTATATTTTATATGTATTGTACTTGATAATTAAACTTGTGTACACCTGTACCTAAATAAACTTACACACTGTGCTGGCATGTAGGTACACATTAAAATCACTAAGTCTCTCTACTCTTGATGCAATAATAATAATAATAATAATAATAATAATAATAATAATAATAATCTCTTGGGCGCATTAATGTCGCATATTACGTTAATATAGACATTTCCCTTAATCTATCTATGATATTTTTTCAAAATTATATAAGAAACACATTATGTAACACACAAACATGATACATGCACCCACAGTATAAAAATTTTACAAATATATATGAGATGTTTACCAAACGGTTTGTAGAAGTGTCGGAAGAATTACGTTTTCTCTAGCCCGTCACCTGTTACTATGGATAACTGTAGAAAAAATATTCCTTTCGTATGCCTTCACTTTATAGCTATAATTCTGTACTAACTTGTACACAGTGTAAGAGTATTTGTTTCGTGATTTAATTATTATAATAATAATAAAAATATTATAAGGTAAAGTTTCACAAACTCTTACAAATGTACATGAATGAACTAAAACTGGACACGTATTAATACCGTCTATTTCGCCTGACCGAGTGATCGTCCACAACCTGTTCAGTTTGTTTGTTTACGCTGTCTGAGCTCGGTGTATCATTAAATGTTGTATATTACGTTAATATACACATTTTCATTAATCCATCCGTGATATTTTTTTCAAATTATATAATAAACACGATACATAACATAAATACATAACAACATATGTGTAGAGAACCTAGGATAACCTAAAAAGTCAGAGTGACTTACTTCCATTGCCTTCACTCAGAGCATCATTTCTTCTCAAAATGATGTTACATGAGAATGGGAGTGTTCTTCTTTATTTATTCTACTGTATCAATGTAGAGACAACCTGTACACAATGTAACTTGTACACAAACCAGACGTGTACACTGTTTACAAAACTTACCTTCGCCTGGTTTGTTTACATAACTCTGCGCCTGTCCTCTCTCATGCACTCATTCTTTCTCTCTGGTATGGTAGCCTGGCTGACTACCATACATACCACACTTGATTTTTTACAATAAATACTACTCATCTCACCCTATATTTTAAGGTAAGTAATGAGTGAACTGTATATACATTTTATCGCTCTGGGATGCTTAAATATCATAGAATAGTATGTGTGGGTGGGGTGGCCTGGTATGGTAGCCTGGCTGACTACCATACATACCACACTTGATTTCTTACAATAAATACTACTTGTCTCACCCTAGATTAAGACTATAAATATTTTAAGGTAAGTAATGAGTGCACTGTGTGTATTGTACTTTTTTATTGTTTTTTTGATGCCTGGTTCTATTGCTAACATAATATATGTTAGTGTAAACTTGTTATCTAGTGTTTGTATGCATTTGTAAGTGGAAAAAAAGGGTGTTCCACTTTACGGCGGTTTCCGCTTTACGGCGGTAGCCTGGAACCTAACCCGCCGTATAAGTGGGGCCCTCCTGTATATGGATGAGGTACAGACATTAAGAAATAACTGATTATTAATGTTTTGAATGAATGACGAGTGGATGTCATAGAACTAAGTAAAACAAAGTTAAAAGGGATAGGAGAGTTTGATTGTTAAGCTGAATGGCAAGATAAGGGAGTCAACAGGGAAGTCTGGATGTAAGCCGAGCTGAGGGAAGAAGAACCATCAAAACGAATTATAGGCATGTCACATCTGTTAGAGAAAATGAGCTAAAGAAAATAGTAGTAATGCTAAATGATGTATTGCTTTGTTCACACAAATGTTCCAAACTCTTATAGACAATGATGCACTCTGAATGTCGAATGAAAATTTGTGAGGGGATAAAAATGTTTAAGTTCAAGAATTAAGAGGTTAAAAATATAAAGTGGGATGTGAAAAGACTTAAAATGTCTATGCACTTATAAGTGAGAGGAGAAAATTTTTAAGAAGGGTTAAGTGAATACTTAGGAAGTTTTGAATCAAGTGAACGAGTAACTGTTTTGGGAAGCCTTAATGCTTCAGTTGGGAAACAATGTTGTAAAAGGCATAGTAAGAAAATATGGTGTACAGCAATAAGAGCTAATATATACTGACCATCAATGAAAGAAATTTGGTAATAGGTAATAAAAAGATAAATAGTGTGGAAATTACGAGGAGGTGTGGAGTTACTAAAAGCATTAGTTAGAGGGCTGAAGAGGGGTTATTGTGGTGGTTTGGTCATTTAAAGAGAATGGAACAAAGTAGAATGACTTAGCATATAAATCTGTAGGGAAAGGAAGGCGAGGTAGAGGTTGTTCTCGAAAAGGTTGGAGGGAGGGGGTAAAGGAAGTTTTGTGGGTGAGGAGCTTGGACTTCCAGCAAGCATGTGTGAGCGTGTTAGATAGGAGTGAATAGAAATGAATGGTTTTTGGGACCTGACAAGCTGTTGGAGTGTGAGCAGGGTAATATTTTGTGAAGGGATTCAGGGAAACTGGTTACCCGGACTTGAGTCCTGGAAATGGGAAGTACAATGCCTGCACTTTAAAGGAGAGGTTTAGGATACTGGCAGTTTGAAGGGATGTCTAAACTGTCGTATCTGAGCATCTCTGCAAAGACAGTGATTATGTATGAGTGATGGTGAAAGCGTTGAATGGTGATGAAAGTTTTTTTCTTTCTTTTTGGGTCACCCTACTTCGGTGGGAAACAGCCAACATGTTAAAAACAAAAAATAGTATACAACATTAAGTACAGTATTATGAAGAGTGTAATGGGAGCAGTTTACTACCTGATGTATTAGTGGATAAAAGTTAGAAGGATAAACTTTTTAATGTGTGTGTTATTAAAGGAGTAACTTGTGTGTAAGATAATTATTTAGTGGGAGTACGAATAAGGAATATGCAATTTCACCACAGAAGTGAAATCACATATCCCTTTCAAGGGATATGTGAAAATAATCCCCATATCTTCTACATACCGTAACCTGAGTCTCATTATCCATATAAAATTTCTTTACTGCTTTTACTAACCTACTACCTATTCCAAACGTCTGCCACATCTTTTGCATTGCTCTCCTATTTGCACTATCATGTGCTTTTTCTAAATCCAAACATGCAACAAAAAGTTCCTTACCTTTATGTAAATACTTTTCACTTATGTGCTTCAATGGTCATTTATCTTGGATGGAGTAAGGTCAACAAAAAACTTATGGTGGTTGGAATAAGGTGTAGGTGATGATCCAGGAAGGGTTGGAGAGACAGTGAAGATTGTTTTAAGAGTTAGGACCTCAGCAACTAGAAATCACGTATGAGTGTATTAGACTAGTTTGTGGGGGTTGCCAAAGTCCTGGAGATGAGATATACAATTCTTGCACACGGAATGATGCATGGGGATGTTGCAATTTGGTGCATTGTTTGAACTATAATGTCTATTCACTTCAGGAAAGACGACTAGAGAATGAGTGAAGGTGAACATACGACACCACTGCTAAGCAATCTTTTTGGCTGTGGTCTTTAAGGATTCTGCTTTGTCGCTTTTGAAATCCCATCTTTTTTGGTTAATGATTTCCAAGTTGTCTCCTTTTTTCTATGGCATTCCTCAGGGCTCTGTTCTTGTACTGGCATTATTTACTATTTATGTTAGTGGCTTAGCCTCACTGTTGGATGCCCCAGGGCTTGATGATCACTTTTGTGCTGGCAGTACACAGATTTACATCCAGATTTTGAATGTGGAAGATGCAAAACTAATTTAACTCTTGTCTACTTGATGCTCAGACTTTGATGACAAATAGAAAATTGAAACTAAATGAAAGACAGAAATTTTGATAATCAGGGAAAATCTCAGGGGCATACAAATTAGAGATTTTAGTTCCTTTGATTATAGTACAGTAGACCATTATTTTACATGATAGTTACATTCGTGAAAATGCAGTGTTAGGTAAATCTGTTAGATAAACTGAAGAACTTGTGGGAAAAATAGGGTTACGTTCCTGGGAGCCCCCCCAAAAAAAACCAAACAACTTTTTTTTAAACCTCCAGATCTTACGAAAATAAAAGTGAATATGTAATTGTAGTTCATTGTCATGCTGTATTATGTTGTTTTTACTGCTTAAGATTACAAATGCAACAGAAATAATAGTATTTCTTACCTTAAATTATGGGCCCTGGTGTTTGTCGATGATTGTGAAGAGAGTGGAGAGTTATGCTGTGGCCCTACTGGTCTGAAGTGGATGGTAGAGAAGCTGATGGTTGTACTGGAGTGTGCATAAATTCTGTAATGGATTTCTGTTTTATTTTCTCTTGTAGTACATTACATTTGTCATGGTCCTCTTCAATGAAAAAGTCTAACTTAAGTCAGTCAGTCAAGTAAATCAGTCAGTCAAGTCAAGTCAGTCAGTTATTCATCACACAC